GATCTGCCTGCCTCTGCCTCCCGAGTGCTGAGATTAAAGGTGTGCACCACCACACCCGGCCTTGTGATTATTTTTATAAGATTCTTTTCATTAAAAAAACACGCACATGTGTGTGTCTGTGTGTTGCTATGTGCATGTGTGAGTGCAGGCACTTGTAGAGTCCAGAAGAAGATGTGGAATCCCTCAGAGCTGGGGTAACAGGTAGCTGTGAGCTGCCTAATATAGATGCTGGGAACTGAACTTGGATCCTCTGCAAGGACAGTACATGCTCTTAACCACTGAGCTATCTCACTAGCCCCTGTGACTGTCTCTTAACATACCTAATTTATAAATGAAACTTATCATAGGCATGCAATCCTTGCAAAGGCTCTCATGTAAAGGCTTGTTGTGCAAGGAAACTGGATTGGGAGGTGTTGAGGACATTTAAGAGTTGGAGCCTAGTGAGAGGCTCTTAGGAACTGCAGGTGTGTCCTCAAAACAGACCACGAGACCTCAGTCTCCGTCTCTCTGCCCACTTCTCTCTCTCTCCAGGATGTAACCACTTATTTGTTCACTGTCTGTTCCAAAATGAAATTTTGATAGCCAGGGGTGGTGGTGCACGCCTTTAATCCCAGCACTTGGGAAGCAAAGGCAGGCGGATCTCTGTGAGTTTTAGGCCAACCTGGCCTACATAGCAAGTTTCAGGCCAGCTGGGACTACAAGGGAAACCCTGTCTCAAAAAGACCGGAAAAAAAAAAGAGAAATTTTGAGACAAGATAGGCATTTGTGTGTATCTTCCTTGATAATCGACTCTAGGGTACACTTGTTCTAACAGCTGTATGAAGCTAATAGTTATAAGGATGAAGTAAAAGTCAATCAGCATCTAAATACAAATTAAAACCATACAGAAGAAAACACAGGTAAATATCCATGGTGTGTGGTTTGAGGATGGATTTTAGGTGTGGTACGAAAAGCACAGGTAATAGAAGGAAAAGTAGATCCACTGGGTGTCATCAAAATTTCAAACTTTAGTGCACCAAAGGCCATTACAATTCTAAGGGAGAAGTATAATTACAGTTATGGGGGTAGCAATCATTTGTCTACTATGAATTTATTATATATAATATAGAAAGCATTCTTCTAACTGAACAATAAAAGGCCAAATTACTCAATTAAAAAATGGACCAAAGACTTGATTAAATATTATTTTCCCAAGAAGATCAACAACTAGCCAAAAATACATGAATGAAATCTTGGTACAGAATGGCAGGATTGTAAATGGTTTAGTTGCTGTGAAAACTCATTTGTCAATTCCTCAAACAGATAAACAAGAATTACCCTATGACCCAGCAGTTGTACTCGTAGACTTATCTCCCAGAGAACTGACAGTAGGGACTTGGAAATTATACATCAATGTACGTTTATTCTTGTGTTGCTTTTATCTGTTGACTATTGTGAATCAATCTGCAGATAAATGAATAAAAAGGAAATGTGGGGCTGAGGAATTAGCTAGGTTTGTAAAGCGCTTCCTTGTAAGTCTGGAGGACCCAAGTTCTATCCCCAGAACATGTGTTATAAAAAAAGGGGGGGGGGTCTGGAGAGATGGCTCAGTGCCTAAGAACACTGGTTGTTCTTGCAGAAGTCCCGGGTTCGAATCGTAGCACCCACATGGAAGCTAACAAGTCTCCTTAACTCCAGTTACAGGATCCGACAGCCTCTTCTGCCCTCCATGGGCATTGCATGACATGGGTACACTTACCTACATGCAAGCAATATACTCATACACATAAGATAAAAATAATAAATAAAATATTTAAAAAATTTTTAAAAAGCTAGATATGGTGGCACAAATGTAGCCTCAGCACTAGGGAGGCAGAGATGAGGGGGGTCCAAAGTTCACTGGCCAATCAGCCTGGCCTACTTGCTGAGCTTCAGGTCAAGAGACCCTGTATGAATAAAAAAAAAAAAAGTGGATGGTGCCTAAAGAATGACACAAAGTTGTTTGCTGGTCTCCATATGCGTGCACATGTACGTTCAGGTGTACCTACACACATGTGCAACTCATAGGCACAGGCTAAATGAACTAAGTCCAACACAAGGGCAAATATTGTTTAAATTCACCCAATAAGCACTCACAGGGGGTATCTTCCCTGCCCTACAATCCTCTGTGTTCCATGCACTCAAACTTCCTTCCCTTTAGCCCCTGAAAGCCCTTGGTCTTTCTGATGGCTTTAGATAGTTTTTTCTTTTCTAGCACATTCAATAGGTGGAATAAGATAGCATTTTTTCATTTTCAGATTGTGTCTTGCCCTTAGTAATGTGTGTTCAAGGATCCTGCATGTCTTCTGGTTGTTGATAATTCCCATCTCTTCCGCATTGAATGTTATTCCATTGTCTGGATGGAGCACGATTGACTCAGCCTCTCACTTTCTGCGTGGTATCTTGGTTCCAGACACTGGCAATTCTGAATAAATCTGCTATAAACATCTGTGCACAGGTTTTTAAGTAGACATAAATTTTCAGTTCTTTTATAAAGGAAACTATCAAAGAGTGCAAATGTGGATTGCACGATAAGGGTACTGGTTTGATAAGCAGCTGCCACCTATCTTCCATGGGGTCTGCACCCTTCCCAACTCCCACCAAGACTGCAGGAGACTCCTGCTGCTGTGCATTCCCAGCAGCGTTCAGGGGAGTCAGTGTTCCAGGGGTTGGCTGTTCTGATAGAAAGGCACACCTCATTGCTCTTCCAATATGCATATTGGAGTAAGAATCTGAGTTCTAATGGAGTGGCCAGTGTAGGATGTGGGGCGGGGGGCAAGACCGCTGGATTCAGGGTCAGGGAAAAGGAAGTTGATTTGGGGGGGATGTATGTTTGTCTGTGTTCTTCCAGGTGGTGGGGAGACACACACACCGGGCCAGAGGACAATCTCGAGTGTCAGTCCTCACCTAACACTTTGTTTGAGACAGGATCTCTCTTTTTCAATGCTGTCTACTCCAGGTCAGCTGGCCTATGAGCTTACGAAAATTCTCCTGCCTCAACCTTCCAGGTAAGGCATGCTGGGATTTCAGATGCATGTGCTACTATGTCTGACTTTTTACATGGGTTCTGGGCATCTGAACTCTGGTTGTCAGGATTGTTGGACCAGTGCTCCACTCACTGAGACATCTCCCGAGTCCAAGGCTGATGTGGGATTTGACACATCTTTGCTGTGAACTTTCAGAAAAGTAACACGATTGTATTGTCCTGAGACTTCTCATATGTAAAATTGGAATAATAACTGTGCATATCTTAAAAATTCAGTAAAATAAGAATATCTCTGAAATCACGCAACAAAATCACCTAAGAGCCAGGCATGGTGACACATACTTTTAATCTCAGCACCCTGGAGGCAGAAGCAAGTAGATCTCTGTGAGATAGAGGCCAGCCTAGTCTACATAGAAAGTTCCAGGCCAGCTGGGGCTACAGAAAGACCCTTTCTGAAAAAGCAAGCAAACAAACAAAATCAGCTAAGAGGTAAAGGCAACCTAATATTCATGATAGATGGAGGGATGTATGGGTGAGCAAAATGTGGTCACATATACTAGGGAATATTACTCAGCCTTAAAAAAGAAGGAAATCCTATCACATGCAATGACATGGGTGAACCTTAAAGACATTACTTTAAGTGAAATGAGCCAGTCGTAAAAGATAAACAGTGCATGACTCTACATATATATGTGAGGCATCTAAAGAATTCAAGTTCAGAGAATCAAGAAGTAAAATGGTGGTTGCTAGGAGCCAGGGTGTGATATGGAGGAAGAATGATGAGTGTAGAGTTTCAGTTCTGCCAGAAAAAGGATGTGGAGATGCTTCATACAACAATATAGATGTTTAACACTAGAGAATCACACGCTGAAAGTGGTTAAGGTCGTAAATTCTGTAGCATGTGAATTTCATCACAATTAAACTCAGCAAAACAAAACCCTGCCAGGTCTATACACAGTACTGAATAAACATGTATAGAGAGGTAAGTGGCTGCCCTGCCCAGGTCAACACTGAGAGCAAGGTGGCAGCGGAGAGCACCCTGCCAGCATGGCAGCACTTAGATTAAAAACTGCCAGGCCACAACTGAACAGCAATTTCATGTTACCATAGGAAATTATTACACCATTTCAGTTTTTTATTCTCTAAGAGTTAAACAATTATAATTTGGGACTCATTTTAATTACTTCCATGTAAGGCCTATAAAGTTCCTTTATTTCAAAGCAGAAGGAATGGGGGGAAAGTCTTGGCCTTAATTGAAGGCAGCACTAGAAATCATATACCTGGTTAGCAGTATCCCCGATGGCAATTTTTTTCTCTTAAATTCAATTCTGTATTGAAGTGTCAGCTTTATGAGGGTCAAGATGACATTGAGCAACTAAGGTATTAGTTTGTCAGTTCACAGTTGACTAGAGCTCTTCTGGTTCCAGGCAAGGAAGACACGGAGGGAGAAAATGGAATACAGGTCCTCTGGAGTTTACATATTTTGGGCGTTAGGCAGGGCCTAGATATGCAGGCATGGAGGCATACATACACATGTGCACACACATACACATGCATGCACACACACATCACATCTAGAGCATCATACAGTCCAGAGAAAGTCATTAGCAAGACTGTGTCTATGAAGGAGGAGTGTAGGCAGGGCTACTTTCCACAGAACCTTTTTATTCCCCAAGGGTTGCTCCTAAATGGAAGACTTCTGAAACTCTTTGAAAGTCGTGACAGAGATATCCTAGGTCCCTTTTTTTTTTGTTTTTTTTGAGACAGGGTCTCCCTGTAGCCCCAGCTGGCCTGGAACTCACAGAGATGCGCCTGCCTCTGCCTCTGCCTCTGCCTCCCAAGTGCTGGGATTAAAGGCGTGCACCACCATGCCTGGCCCTACTCATGGTTTTTTTTTTTTTCATTTTTTTTTTTTTAATTACCCTCACTTTTCAGTTTTTCCAAAGAGAACACCTACAAAAGAGAAACAGAGGTGACTTTGCCAGAAGAAATTTACCTTATGGTTAAAATAGAGCCATCCTTTGGGACATGTTCCATGCTGTGCTGATGTGTCTTTTTCTTTCTCCATGACCCAAATTTTTCTTCTCTTACAAATGCTAGGCATCGAAATAGAACAGTCCTCAGTCCCCCAGAGCCCTGCAGGAGGGAAATGGGTTAGAAAAAGCTGAAGAACAACGGCCATTCCGCCCAAGAATTCTCTATTGGTCACCTTTTGTGACTCTTATATTTTTCCATAATGTTAGTTTTGAAATCTAGAAATAGAGCGACACTACTAATTACAGAGTTCTCTGTCAATGACATCTACCTGGGCAAGGTACCAACCGAATAATTTGAATGTGAGAATGTAAAAACTTGGGGCTGGAGAGATGGCTCAGCTGTTATAAGCACAAGCTGCTCTTGCAGAGGACCTGCATTCAGTTCCCACATGGCAGCTAACAACCATGTGTAACTCAAGTTCCAGGGGATCCAACACCTTCTTCTGATCTCCATGGGTATTGCATGACATGGGTGCACTTACATACATGCAGGCAAAACACTCATGCACATAAAAATAAAATAAATACATTTTAAAAAAAGAATGAAAAAACTTTGCAAAAAAGTTATTAAATGCTATCTTCAAAAAAGATTAAAGTCCTAAGAATATTTGGCTTGGGAAGTAAAATAAGGCTTCATAGAGTAATATTTTGTTTTAAAGCATTCAGCTTCAGCATACAGAGAAATAGAGATTCTAAAATAGATGATTCTTTCCAAAGATTTTTAAACTTTTCTAAAGATTTAAAAAATTTTAACTTATTTATTCATTTATTTTTATGTGTATGAGTATTTTGCCTGCACATATATAAGTGTACCATATATGAGCAATGTCCACAGAGGCCAGAAAAGGGCATCAGATTCTCCTTGGAATTGGAGTTTCAGACGGTGGTTAGCCACCATTTGTTGTTGGGAATCAAACCCGAGTCCTCTGCAAGCAGTCAGCTCTCTTAGCTGCTGAGCCATCACTTCAGCACCGTAAACTTTTATAAAGACTTTAAAACACTTCTAAACTTTATAGTTCTTTAGAAAATGTGGTTTTAAATTCCACTTTAAAAAAAGATAGGTCTTACTCTGTAGCCCTGACTGGCCTAGGCCTTGCTATGAAAACCAAGCTGGTCTCAAACTCATCACAGAAATCTGCCTGCCTCTGCCACCTGAGTACTGGGATCAAAGCTACCACATCCTGTCTAGAAACTCAAGAAGTTTCTGATTTGGTGGTGTTTCCAAATGTTTAGTTTGAGAACACTAAAAATTCCCAAATCCCCAAACACCAAAATCTGAAATACTTCTTATCCTAAGGGTTTTGGATAAAAGATATTCAACTGCAGAATAATGTAGAAAAATTAAATTGGGAACTTTTAAGAAAGGAGTTCTTCTCAGTCTTGACCCTTAAACAAAACAGACTCCCGCATGAACATGACTTCAATAAGATAAAGCGCCAACTCCTTTCCTAATGTCTCTTATTTATTTTTTTAAATTAGAAGGGCTACAATTTCAGAGTATGAGTTATAGGATGCATGCTATTAGCACCGAGACATAAATTCCAGACAGAGCAGAGTGCATGCAAATTGTAATGCAGGTTCAGCTTCTAGTGTCAGAAATAGGAGTTAGAAACTGTCAGCTTTGAGGGGAAGCTGGGCTGAGATTTTCAGTGCGGATCCACTGCTGTTTTCCCAGCCTTGCAAAACAGCCCTTTCCGTAGGCTGTTGTGACACCTGCTGGCAAAGCAAGCTGCCTAACCACAGCTTTCTTCTAATTGCTGAGGCCCTCCCACTGAGGATCGCTTTTTTGTGTTTCTCTCTCTCTTGACTCAGGCTAGTTATAAAATTCTCTTTTCTGGTTGGAAAATGTGGTTGGGTGTAAGTACATAATCAACCTGGGCAGCATTGTACTGATTAAGAAATTCACAAGCCAGGCTCCAGCTTCACTGTGCCGTTAAATCTACCTTGCAAGCTTAAAAGACAAGACAAGCAGCCCTTAGTGCCAGGGAGCAAAAGAAAAATAAAAGGAATAGTGAGCTGAATGAAGGTTTTCATTACAAGGGAAAAATAGAAATAAATTTCACAGGTTAAGTGCTGGTCAATTTATAAATCAGAAAGTAGAGAAATATTGGGGGGTCGAGAAATGGCTCAGCAGATAAGAGCACTGGCTGTTCTTACAGAAGACCTGGGTTCGACTCCCAGAACCCACATGGTGGCTAACAACTGTCCATAACTCCAGTTTCAGGGGATCTGACATTCTCTTCTGACCTCCTTGGGCACTATACAACATGGATGCACTTACATACATGCAGGCATAATACTCATACACATAAAATAAAAAAAGAAAGTAGAAAAATACGAAAAATGGTACCACATTGAAATTTCACAGAAAATTGTATTTTCCAGACATATGGTTTCAACCATATTCAATAATTTCGATGATTTCACATTTATTATTCTATAATTTGTTTGAATTATCTATATTGTTTTGTACATTTTATTTTTTTTTCATCTCACCCACGCCTTCATTGATGTAGATGCTTAGTGTGTACTTTAAATTCTATTCTCACTTCATCCTCAAGTGCCAGCATATTTTCTTGCATAAATCAATGTGCAACTCTTAATTGTTGGGCAGGGACAAGATACATCTAATTTATTTATATTTGATATGTAAGTACATGTTTGTAACAGTCTCCGTGGGCCCTGAGGTCTTATCCATATGTAAATTATTTTCAGGAACATAAATGCATTGATTTAACTGGAGGAGTAGCCATCCCATACCTTAAGACTATGAGACTGTGCATAGTCGACTGAAAACAAAAATAATCACACAGAGGTATTTGCAATATAAACCCCAACCATGGATGAATCAAATAACCTGTTATAGAAGAAATGAAGGCACATCTCTGGCTCTGATTATTCATAAATCTTTCTCTTCCTTTGTCCCAGTTCTGATATGTCACAGGTGACCCACTGCTCCAACTGCAGGAAAATTTAAATTTTTTAAAAAAGATTTATTTTTATTCTTATTTGTGTGTGTGTGTGTGTGTGTGTGCGTGTGCGTGTGCATATGCACACATGCCATGTGTGTAAGGGTATCTGTGGAGATCAGAAGGGAGCACCAGATCCCCTGGAGCTGTGTTACAGGAGGTTGTGAGCTGCCTGATGACATGGAGGGTAGGAACTAAACTTGGGTCCTCTGGAAGAGCAGCAAGTGCTTCTAACACACACACACATCCATAAAAGGGTTTTTTTCAGATTATGGATATGCTTATGGCATAGCCTGGTGATGGTTCTGTAGATGTAGACTTTAAAAAGACTCATAACTTTGGTCATTGGAATGAAAATTCATAAGTTAACAATAACAATTGAAGGCTATTCAGCAAATTGGTCACTAAGATCTAGCCCAATTATTCTGCAAATAAAACTTGTCAAATAGGGGGCTGGAAAGATCATTCAGTGGTTAAGAGCACTGACTGCCCTTGCAGAGGACCCAAGTTCAATTCCCAGGACCCACACGGCGGCTGCGAACCATCCTTAACTCCAGTTCCAGGGGGAATCTGAAGCCCTCTTCTGACCTCCATGGCATTGCATGACATGGGTGCACTCACATACATGCAGGCAATACATTCATACACATAAAATAAAAATAATAAATAAAATATTAAAAAAAAATTAAAAACTTGTCAAATAGTATTAAATGCAAATTAATCTAGGTTCATACTGAATTTCATCACTGGCTCTTCCTTCTTGAAGTCCAATCCACCAATTTACACCATATTTTGACAGCTATTAAAGGAAAGAAAGAAAATGTCAACATTTATCTACCTTGTTTTATTTTTTTCACTATTATGATCAATGGAGAGGTGCTATTAGCTTTTTTATTCTTTAGGATTTTACCCAGTCATATAAGGAAGAGCAACTAAGGCCTAGCAGCTAGAGAAAACCTGAAACTTCATTATTCTAAAACATTCCCTATTCATTATGAAGGAGAATTGGAGTCAACCATTGAAAATAATTTGTTTCATTCAACTTGGAAAGTAAATTTTCTAACTCTGTAAGAAGTCATATGAAGTAAAAAAGAAGATGGATTCTTTTTCTGACTATAATTAGTAGCTTATTCTCTCAATGATTTGTGGAAACTCACTACAGATGTCACATTTATATACAAGGTACAAAAACAGCAGAATAAAGATTTGAGTTTTGATATTAATCTGTTAAGCTTTAGACAGTGTTGGCATTCTAAGAGAGATGTGGCATAGGACAAAAGAATGCTACAGAGTTCCAATGTCAGACAACTAGAAAATTATTCTTTATCTTTAAAAAATCTAATGCCAATATTAATCACTCAGCCTAAACATAACAAAATGTAAAACTGAAACAACACGGGCATGCAGGTGCACACACACATACACACAGTTCAGCAGATGTAATACTGAACTTATGGGCCAGGAAATTGAAGTTCTCTCTTTAACCATAAATGATGAAGAGGCAGTAAGGATTCTTCAAGATTTCTAATGCAGTATACTTTATGGCGTGTGTGCTCCTTCTGTGTGTATTGAAATTCAAATTAATTTTTATATGCTACACCCTGTTAAACTGGAGGCATTATGTATTTAAATTAATACTTGTGTTTTTCTTTGTGGAGGTTCAGGAATAAATTTTAAGATACGTTGTTTTTTTCCATATGCATTTCAGGCCATCATGTAACAGAACCTAACAGCTTGCTAACATTCTAATTTTGAAACAGGTATTTTTTACTCCTTAAACAGCATGGCTGTCTGCCATATCAGTAATTTGAGAATAATGCAAGGTAGAATTACTGTGATTTGGGATCCCTGTGGTGATGTTTCATGGACGTGTTGCCACAGGCTGAATTCAGATCCCCATACTCAGACTTTGGAATGGCTCTGTTGAGATTGGCTGTGAACACAGTGGGAAAACCATAATTTCTTTCCAACTAGAGAGAGCTCATGTGCAACAATGGTAGAAATCATGGCCTGATGGCTCACTGTCCAATTAAGGACCTCTAAAGAGAAATTATAACTATTACATGCTAAGTGGCATATTTACTACCACTTCAGTAATGGTATGGTTATCTCCCATACAACATATCACAATTGTGATGTAGTAGAGAACTGCACAGGACAAGCCAGATGATACCTAGTCAAAATGGCCAGTGTGGAAAATGAATATTTTAAATTTTAGCTTAGATTTAAGGCCACAATAGAAACCCAGTTAAGGTGTGTTAGTAAGAAGAAATGTGATATGACCATCAGTTACACTTTGCTGTATTCAAATGGCCTTACAGGGCTGGAGAGACAGTGTAGCTATTAAAGGCTAAGACTAACAACCAAAATGTCAAATAGCCTTACAGGTTATATGGGAAGAATACTTTACAAAGAGTTATAAACACAAGTCAACACATGAATCTAAACTATATGAAACAAAAACAATGTCATCTTTTAAAATGTTTCCATCAAAATGATACAAACTATTTTAAGGGATTAAAACACTAAATCTTGGAGATAATGGATTTAATGCATAGTTTTAAAAGAATTCATAAGTACAAAACTTAAAAATACAGCACTTAGCTGGGTGTGGTGGCACACGCCTTTAGTCCCAGCACTCAGGAGGCAGAGGCAGGTGGATCTTGGTGAGTTCAAGGCCAGCCTGGTCTACATAGTGAGTTCCAGGATAGCTGGGGCTACGCGGAGACCCTGTCTCAAAAAGACGAAAATAAATTTTTTTAATTAATTGAAAAATCTTTAGATTCATATCAAAATTGCACTCAAGAGGCAGAGGCAAAGGCAGAGGCAGGTAGATCTCTGTGAGATCCAGGCCAGCCTGGTCTACACAGTAAATGCCAAGCTAGCTGGGGCTACAGGGAAACCTTATCTCAAAATGATCAAAATAAATAAATAAATAATGGTGAATTGCCATTTTGAAATGCAAATATTGTATACCACAAGATAAAAGAATTAGTCAAGTAGACTGATTGGCTAGGCGTTCATGTCCCATGACTTTTAAGTGCTTATAGCTTTTAACCTTTTCATCATTGATCTGAATAAGAAGACTGGTCAAAAGAGAAATAGTCAAAATTCACTCTGATCATGCCCTGTGGTCTTCCATTATTTAAAAAGAGCGGCACAACCATGGGCATTCTTCAAAAGAAAAATCTGGATGTTTTTTTTTTCTCTTCAGACTTTTAAAGCTGTATCTGGCTTTCTAACACAACAATTTCTTCTGCACTCTAAATGTTATTTTTGTCTTTCATAATTCATTACTAGTCTTGATAGGAGCTCTATATGAATACACACAATAAAAAAGTAATTACTTATTCTAATTCCTTCTACAGTTATAGGATGGGTGTGCCTCAAAAGTGGGTCACATGGCCTCTCCAACATTGGCTCTTCAACCTGAAATCAACTAATTTCTTCTGGATCCACTTACTCTAGGAGGGAATTTTTAGGTATGAGACTTCTTACTTGGGAAATGTTAATGCTCACCATCAATTCTGCCATTACTACCAACAACAAACAGTGCCGATCATGGATGGAAATAAGAATTGGTTAGAAATGCACAGTAGTCTTCTAATTTGATATCTTTCCTCCTCGGGCCCTGCCAGACTGAAGATTCGTGCCCCCCAAGACCTCTGGTCTTACACGTTCAAATCCCAACCCAGAAGTTGATAGATTAGGAAGGGGGAGCCTCTGGAAAGTGATCACATCATGAGGGCAGCGTCCTCAAGAGTGAGATTAGTGCCTTTATAAACAGGAGCTCAGAGAGTGATGAACGAATCCCACCAAACAGAACTTGTCTGACTTAACATTGTGGGTAGTAAAGAATGAACAGAAGTGAAATGGCCAAGCAACATGTAAACCTGTTTCTTCACTGTTTCCTATAATCTGTATTGCAGGAAGAAAAATGCTCCTCAAAAATGTACGACTTCTACTGAAGCTTAAATGAATGTATGAAGTCAAATTAGAAAAACAAATCCCGCCCCCAAGGACAGAAGAATTTCTTGTGGTGAGCTGGGTTCATGTACCACTTTGATTTTACTGTGGATGAATTCTTGCTCCTGAGCAGAATGAATTGCGAGGAAATCACTGCGCAGCCAGCCACAGACAAACTCAAAGGCAGGCCATTCCGAGGCATGGGTGTGGAAGAGGTACTCAGCGTTCTGATAGAAGAGCCAGGGCGCATCTGCAAGGAAAAGTGATGATGCCGACCACACCAAAACTATCGAGAGATAATGCGACTTGAAGAGCATATGGTACTGACCCATGATTGTAATTTGGTCAGTTGGCATTTTTAAAATTAGGTGAAAATATGTAAGAAAATATACGTAGTCTTGCAGGCATATAAATAAACACCTACATAAAAATATAACTGCTAATTTTTTTTAGTCTACCTCATTCAAGAACCCTTCATTAACTTTCAAAGGTCAGGGATAGATACATATTTTAAAATCATGTATCATAAACATGTGTCTGTGATGTTAATTTCAATATTATTTAATGGCTACATTTATTAATTTGATTATTGATTATTTTGTTATTTTGTCTTTTTTTTTTTCAGAGCTGAGGACCGAACCCAGGGCCTTGCGCTTGTTAGGCAAGCGCTCTACCACTGAGCTAAATCCCCAACCCCTAATTTGATTATTGATTATTAATCTGTTAATTTGAACAAATTAGTTCTACATGAATACTAAGAAATAAGGCTGAATCAGAGGAATAAAATAATACAGCAATAGTGTATAATATCCCCTATATGGTACGTAGTTAAAGATTTGAGATTTGCCAGGCTGGCTCTTACCATACTGGTACCAGGGTGGAATATTGGGTTTCACATCTGCAAAAGGAAAACAAACCATCTTGACCGATCCTTCTGCACAGACTCACTGTTTCTGAACTACTTCAGCTCTAACCATACTCTATGTTCTTCACCTTTAAAAAATTATCACTGAAAGGACAAGTACTTTGTGCTGTTTGGACTCTATGGTGAGTTCTCACAGACGAAGAGGGGGCACCAGAGAGTCTAAAGGACACCAACACTTGCTGGGGTCCACTGCATGTCACCCTGTGCTAGAAGTTTCCACATATGCATTGTGCAAGGAGGTCTGTGTGCTTGTAACGTCAGGGTGATATGTCTTTCCTTTGTGCTTATTCCACTATGTCAGCTGGCCACCTTCATTCCTAATGAACAGCTCGGCACTGTTTCGTCTTTCCTCCCCCTGTGATCCCTTCTTTGCTAAATCCTCGCAGCTTGGTTCATCAGGCAGGTTGCTGGCATTGTGGTTCAAGGAGTTAGTGCCTACATTCTGAGCATCTGTAACTCTTCATTTGGAAAAGTGCTGTACATTATTAAAAATTAAACACACAATAAAGATCTCATACCTCTTGGAATTTTGCATATCCATTCGTGTTTGGAACCACAGTGTGAAGGCAGCAATGTTTTGTTTGCCTTAAACACAGCACAGTTTCTTGCATCTTCTCCAAAATAAGTATTGTCTAAAAATGAAGAGACAACCTGCAGCAGATGAAGTTCATTATTCCTTAAGAATGATCACCCACAAAGAGTTTCAGAAGATCAAAGAAGGCATCCAGGAACACAAGTGCTAGAGGCTTTCTAAGAAGCTTCAGAAGTGTCTAGAAATCATTCCAGTGAAAGGATGGTCCACACTTGTGAAGAACAAACTAATAAGCACTTAGGTTTTTTTTTTTTAAAAAAAAATATAAAAGAGGCATGAATGACTGGGGAGATGGCTCAGTTGGTGAAGTGCTTGCTGTGTAAGGGGACCCGAGCTCAATCCCCAGCACCTACCCTAAATAAAATAAAATAATAAAATAAAATAAAATAAAGCCAGTGTGGTCACACACAACTAATCCCAGTGCTGAGGAGGTGAAGACCCCTAGGGTTCACTGGCCAGCCAGGCTAGGCTAACTAGTGGTTCCAGGTTTAGTTAGAGACCCTGTCTCAATAAAAAAAAAAAAAAAAGGTAGCGTGATTAAGGAAGACACCTCTTTCTGACCACTAGTTTTCATATACATGTGTATGCGTGTGTGTGCACGCCCCTTCCCGTCTACAAAGGTATGCTTTTTTTTTTTTCCCTTTTTTTCTTCAGAATAAATCAGATGCGAGCTTCATTCTGAACCTGCATTATTTTCTAACAGGCAGGGTTTGTCTATCTTAGGGTCTTGGGTAAACTTCTTAGAGGGTCAGGGATATCCCAGACCTGGGCATCACCTTTGAAGCCAATTCTTTTGCATATATGCTAAACTTTCATTCATTAATAATTAAATTGTAAGACAGAGTTAGCTTTTTAATCATAAAACTAACAAATGCTTTTTGAGAGACCATATAACTCACACAATTCCCAAACTGGCATTTTAAATGAAGATTCAACTTTTTGAACTCTTTAATAATTACCTGACATAGAGTAGTAGATGGATTACTACTAAATTAGAGTAAAAATGTGGAAAATAAGAGAATGTTTGGAAGCCATTTGAATGCTTTAACTATATACGTGTCTATGCAACAATTCATCTAACATATCTCTCCTCAGGTTTGGAGAATGGTATGAGTTATAATTCTCTTTGTCTGGTGTGACTTGGTGAGAACCTCAGGGTACAGTTTCATGCCTTTATTCTCATTAATTCTGAATCAAATTTTCTATTTCTCACCTATTATTAATGAGTTTAATTGACTGAAACAAAATGAAGCACTTCAACTTCTATGTATCTGATTTTGTTTTCCAAGTCCTCGATGGTCTTCAATCCCCACCCCTTCCATTCCTGGGCCTTGGTTTCTTTGTTAGCAAAAATGGGTTCAGCTGAGGGATCTGAACCCTCCTCTCTGAGATCTCTTCTCAATCTTTGTTCCTGATAGCCCTTTCAAAAAGTAGTGCTCAAATGGAAAATGCTATTGGTATCATGTTTAAACTGGCATTTCCTTATTGTTATTATTGTTCCTTGAGAAGTGCATATCTTTTTTTGCTTTTTTTTTCCCTTCTTATCTACAAATTTGAGCCATTCTTTAAATGGGCTCTTCTCACTTGGTCTTTATCCAAGTTTGGCTGCTGATATTTTGCAAACTGGAAGATATCATAGCATTGTAGCTTTAGAGTCAGACAATCTGTGTGCAGATCCTGGCTGTCCTCTAATATGTTAGGCAAACTATCAATTGTTCTATTGCCTGCTGTGGTGGGCTACTGGAAGGATGGAATGAGATAGTTGCAGAACTGTATTCAGCCCAGTACATAGAATGTTCAGAAGGGTCAGGAAACAGCAACTGCCTCAAATACTCCCTGTTGTCTTGTACTAGACACCCCTTACAGACTTGAAACTATATCACGTGATTTTGCATGTGCCCATCTCAGTCTGGGATACTGCTGCAGTTTCCTCCCTGTCATCTTGATGACAATGTGAGAACTGCTCAATGCACCTGGAAAAGCAGCACATCTGTGAGTTTCTTTCCTTCACAGAGGCTGGCAAGTATGTGGTGCAATGAAAACCGAGATTTTTTTTCCTTCTGGAACGACTTCATCTGTCTGAGAGGAGTTAATTCTAAGACTGATGGCACCTCTGTCTTTGTACAGAGAGATAAAGTGAAAACCATTCTTCAATGTTTCTCTTTTTCATGTGTGTGTGTGTGTGTGTGTGTGTGTGTTAGTGTGTGTAGCACATGCAAAGGTTAGAGCAGGATCAGGATATCAGGTGTCTTCCTCTGTTACTATCCTCTCTCCACCTTATCCCCTTGATAGAGGGGCCCTCTATGAACTGGAAGCTCACAATTTCAGCAAGACTGACTGACTACTAAGCTCTAGAGATCCACCTTTATATGTCCCCCCGTTTCTGACTTTTTATGTGGGTACTGGGGATTCAAACTCAGTCCCTCGCAAACACTCTTTCTCACCCAGTGAGCCATATCCCCAGCCCTTCAATAGTTTCTTGTTCACTGTGACATGAAGAAGGGTCTTGAACACAATAAAATATTGTGCCAGCAGACACAGCAGAATGGAAATCTGGAACTATTGTAAAGAACAACTGTTTCTCTGCTAGATGACTCATCACATGTGAGGTGGTTTAGGGGAGATTTGGATTTCTTTTCACGATGAGATATCAGGTGCCTCCGAACCATAGGGTCACCCCAGGTTTCCCAGGACCTTGATACAGTAACTCTCTTGGCCAAGACCTAGTGCAACTTGGCCACAAAAGTGTCATTTCCTGGATCTCCATCTCTTGGTTGTTATACCAAGTGGTTCCAGGGTCACTTGTTCTGGATTCATCTCCTCTTATCCATTTTGAAAAGACTTACAGGAGTTCCATCAGACCATTCCCAAGAACCAGAGTTCAGTGGATTCCTCTTATTAAATCCAATCCAGAACTGCCTTTCTTCTGTCCTAGGAAGAGAAGAAAAAAATCCTTTCTGATCTAATTCTCAAGCTCAGATAAGATGTTCTAAGATACTGTAAAACACATGTAACCAAGAAACAGGTGATGCTGCTGGTGAGATTGATGGAGTCAACATATGGGTTGAACATTATTTTACACAGAAAACCCTGTGCCATTAAATGAGCAAAGACAAGATTTAGACTCATGTACTACTGTGTGGTTTGCTCATAGGACATGTACAGGGGGTCAGGGACATCAACCTATATGGAGAACCCAAGTTTTCCATCAGGTCAAGAGTGCATGAAAACAAACTGGTAAGGAAGTTTGGAATATCATTGCCCTGGAGGACACTGCCTGCTTTACTATTTCTACTTTGCTATACTTTTTGTGTTGTTTTACTATGTTTTGATTTTTTGTGCATTTTTTGAAAGTTAATCACTATCATCTGCATTTAATAAAAGGTGTAAAGAAGGTTTAGGGATTTTTTTTCCAGTTCCCAACATAAATAACTACAGCAAATCAGCCTGGGCCATGGTAGATTAACTTGAGCAGTCACCACTGGCTTCGATTTGGCAAGAAGCTTCACAGAGAATCATATTCTCTCCTATTACACAGAGTACAAATATGTCAAATCGCAACATACTCAATAAATCAAGCAATAAAGCCTAATTGTACAATGAAGCATCTCGCTAAGATAATTTTCTGAGAATAATTTTGAAGAATTAAAGATTTAAAAGACTCAGAAGTCATGACAGATGCTTTATTTTGCTTAGTGCAGAGAAGCAAGCTTGTTCTGTAGGGTCGCCTCTCATTCATGTGTCTGAAAGGCAGAGATCAAAGTCAAATGCAAGTCAGAGCACCTGTACTGTGCATTTAAGGTTGCGAGGTGAGGATGATGTCCTTCAGGTCAGGTGTGTTCATCTCCAAAGCACAGGCTAGAAACCCGTCTCACTCTTCCTGTGTTTCATTTCTTTCCTCGCCAATATCATCAATTTTTGTTTCTCCTGCTCTACTGACTCACAGAAGACAAAGTATTTATTTTCTCTCCACCAATTTCCTAAATTGTATAATTTTAAATAACACACATGTGATGTGGCTGAATTCCCTGGGTAATGTGGGCAAAAAATAAAACATACATTCTACGACTTGTGATTATATGCTAAAGATCCATAATTTGATAGATGCTTGGCACAAAATTCTACTAGAAATTTTCATATGTGAGCACATCTGAAAACAGAAATGACATAATTACATTTTCTCTTAAAGTTAATAAGGAAATGGTTTATAGACCTCATCTAAGGTCTATACATCAAGCATGTTTTGTAAGGGGCTAAAATAACAAAGCATAGCACAATTTAGGACACTGGAGATGGTCCCCTGTCCCTGTAAGCAGTAGCCCTGCATCTGGATAGCAATTCAGTTAAGGAGGAAGCTTCTTAGACATCCACCTCACAAAGTCTGCGGTGGCACAGAGGGCTCTGTGTCCCAAGGTGCCCCAGTGTCGGTAAAGTGGAACCAAGGCCTCAGGTCAGCATTTCCTGTGTGGACTAGCAATTCCATGGGATGTTTAGAAGCTTAATCAAGGGGAAAAAAAATCATTTTACAATGAAAGTTCTTCCTTCTAGAAGTCTTTACAATATTAACATACATAGCAAATTTTCAATATTGTACAATTTTTGCGGTGTTATTTGATTCCTCCACTGCCACATTCTCCTGCTTCCTCATAAAACAACAAAAGGGGCAGGAGAGCTGACTCAGCAGTTAAGAGCACTGACTACTCTTGCAGAGGACCTGGGTTCAGTTCCTAGTACCCACATGGTGGCTAACAAGCATCTGTCAGTTTGAGGGGAATCTAATGCCTTCTTTTGACCACTGAAGGCATTGCGTGACACAGATGCACTTACATACATGTAGGCAGAACACTCATATACATAAAATAAAAATAAACAGTAACAGTAACAGCAAAACAAAACCCACTTTTCTTCACAAAATACTCTATTACTCACATTTGGAGATCTCAAAGCTCTCACCCTTCTGGTAAATGCTGAAGATGCATAATTTCATAGACATTACATATTAACTTATGGGAGTGCCCCATAAGGAATTTTATGGGAAATTCAGGAATTTCTTCAAAAAATAGTTTTAGATTTCTCTGAGATCCAGGAAACTGTTTGAGACTCCAGATTTCTATGGCGTGGACCACAGTCCCTACCTGGTATTGTATTTGATTTTCTTAATAACTGGGTGGTATCTTGGAAGGATGTTGTCCTTGGCCAACAACATCCTTTGGGGTAGGATTTTGTCTGTTAATCTGTTGGAGTTTCCAGCTAGCCGTATATGTAAACTGTGTCCCTTCTACAAAAGATGATAGCTGTCTTCAAATATTTTTAAATGGAGCTGGCTTGATCTGCATTGCCTAGCTCCAAACTGAGGGAGGCAGATTTCTGGCTTGTAAAATAGTTTCCAGCAGTAGAAGCCTTTCTTCTAGACACTGGGAAACTGTTAGAAATTAAGGACAAGTAGATAACCACAGGAAGTTAGTGGAAGGAATTCTTGCACCAGGTAGGAATTAACTCAAAGCCTTTAGATTTCTTCCAATTTAAGTTTAGCCAATAAGGTTGGGAATAAGCTCAGTGGTACAGTATACAGACTCTGGGTTTGGGGGCTGGAGAGATGGCTCAGCGGTTAAAAACACTGGTTGTTCTTGCAGAAGATCTGGGTTCGAATCCCAGCACCCACATGGCAGCTAACAACTGTCTGTAACTCCAGTCCCAGGGGATCCAA